CAATGTGAAAATCAATATTAGAAACATTCATGACATGTATGTTATCATGAGCACCATTTAACTCGGTGTCAAAATCTCCTGATACGGTCATAACATGTAGGCAATCGAGGGAATCACTTACAACAACTAAGTTCTGATCATCATTTTGCTGCGGTCTTTATTTCCTTTTAAAGTCATTACAGTCTTTCTTGAAATGTCCTAACTTGCCACAATGAAAGCATTTCTTACCACTCTTATCTCTAGACTTAGACCTACCCTTCGATTTTCCTCTGCCCTTCTTACTTTGAAAATGGTTTTCCCTCGTCTCATTCCTCCATCTAGCAAATAAACTCTCTTCTCTCGAGCTACCCCTCGACTCTTTCTTAAGCTCTAGCTCCCTAACCCTCAAAACATCAGTCACAATATCTTGGGTCAAAGTATATCTAGCATACGTGATAGCATTCCTAACATCTCTATAAGATTCGGGCGTAACATTTAAAAGTATAACCGCTGGATACTCATCATCAAATTTCTTGTCGTTGTGGGCCAAACACTTGACGTTCCTAACAATCTGTCTTTTTTGACCTCAGGCTGAAACACCCTCATGCGCCTCCTGTGTCCTCTGCGCGTGGTCACACGCGTCGCCTCCACCGCGGGTGTGTGTGTCACACGAGCTGAACAGGAATGTTCTACTTGACGTCTGGAGTCTAGTGGTGGTCTCTGTTCGTCCACCAGATGTGTAGTTTTTCCAGAAAATGGGTTCAAAGTTTCTGTTGAACTTGTTTTCGAACAAAATCGAACCCCTTTGACTTCCAATCCAATTTTCAGGTTGTTTTAACACTTTTTACCACTAGCCTAAGCTCTGATACCATTTGTAGAGTTTAAAATGTAGAATACAAAAGATTATTACAACTACAATGCGGAATAATAAACTCTCAAAGTGTAAAACCGAACCAAAACCAACTCAAAGCTTCTTCAACACCACCAATGAAGTGTTCTTGATGTTGAGCTAGATTTGTGCCGCACCAGATCATGCACCGTCGTCCACGGAAATGATAATGGATATATCGGGAAGGGATCCGCCGGAAGCCACCAAGAATTTTGCCGGAGTTATGGAAAGCTCCCACTTGGTTACCTCTCTATGCTCTCTCTCAAATGTTATGCCAAGTCCAAGTAGAGAGAATGAAGAGGTCTTGAAATTATAGAGCCAATTCATTTGAATTCAAAATTCAAATATTGTACTATGGTCTATAGAGTGACAACACTAGTATAGGTAATTGACCATTAGATTAAATCCAACCATTAGATTTAATCTATGGTTCATATCACCCTATAACTAGCACAATTCAAGTCACATTCTCTAGACCAATCAACTTGCACCAATACTATGTTGTGATCCACCTTTCAGATTGGTTTATACAAGTTAAATTCATTATCCTTGGCATTTGAATATATTGTTGATCAGTGAGGAGGGGAGAGAGAGAGAGAGAGAGAGAGATTCTGTCTGTTACTATGCCTTCTAGTTATCCTGGATTGGGTTATGAGATTCCAGCTACTGATTGTGAATTTGTTGCGTGTACAAGTAATACTATTCTTCGACTTACTTGTGGTTCGTGCATGTGAATTTGATGCATCAAAATTGTAATTCTGATTGGAAATTATCGGAAACTTTGCCACCAGAATAGGTTCCTTTGAGATTAACTGAAGGTCTTGCATCCCATGAACCATACTGCCAATATGCTGCCTTCACCAATATATGAATTGATCCACAGAAGTCACTTGATAAGGTATATAGACAATCTCGATACGCTGAGATAGTGAGATTCCATGTTCAAAGAATTTTTCTTGGGCCTTTTGTGTGATCACCATTCAGTAATGAATACTGGTTTCCAAAAGCTGAAAAGTAGCCCCATTGTGGATGTACAGATTCAACTCTTGTTCCAGGTTTGAAGCTCAATTCTACAAATGCAGATGCAGATGCTGATGCAGACGCTTGCAATTTCATGAGGTAGATTTGGTTGTTCTAGCTGGCCTTGTGTTAGTGAATTACTGAATTCCTTTGACAAATACCCTGTTTTTTCATTTGAACTCAAACTTTTGCTTTCTATTATTGCACACGATTGTGATATCTTCCAAGGCTGTAATCTTACCCAATCATTCCCTTTAAGAATCCTTTTACCAATTAGCGATCACATTTTCCTCATATTTCAGATTTATACAAGTTACCCTTGGAAACTCCCCAAGTAATTTCTCGATTTCATCAAAAACCACCTTTCCAGTTAGTAAACAGAAAAGTGCCAGAAGCTTTCTTCGTCAAATATAGCAATGTTCCTCGTACCATTACCAATATTCCATAAACAAAACTTGGAGTAAAAATTTTCACAATGTGAACCATTATCTGCAAAACAGACATATTGAAACTAAATGAACAGAAAACTAAAAGGTCCATATACAGAAATTGAAGCCTAAAATAGAATAACCCATTTCTTAAAACTGAAATCTTAACAGAAAACACCAAGTTTAGTCTCTGTTGCACTGAGGCAAAACATAAACATACCAATGGAAGATAAGAAATAAATGATGAGAGTAATAGCATCAAGAATTGGCTATAAATTTAGACATGAATGACTTAGATGATCACAACATATTCACATTGGCATTATAGACCAAACAACTTGCCAACAACAAAACATAATCATGCAATGCTCTTTTGGTCTGTCCTCGTCTTGCTTGGTGCCCATTTGGTTTTCGCTCTCACCTTTTTAATGATTTTTCCTCGTGCAATTGCCACAATGTTGTACATATATGTAAACAACACATTGATTAATGGACCAATTTTGAAAATTGATTTATTTGCAACCTTGTTGAAGGTCATTTGTAATTGTTGAGAAAGAATGGAGAGGTTTAATATGACACAATATAAAGTATAAGATCACAAGAATAGAAACAAGATTTAAAATAAAAAAGAAAGAGACTGGCAGAGGAATCGATGTTTTATTAATGACAACCAATGAAGAGAATACAAAGGACTTAGCAGTAATGTTTCTGCTTCTCCTAAACTAAATAAAGGAGCCGCATATTTATAGGGGACGTCCCTAATTCTAGAAATAATACAAGATATGGAAACTAGGATAAAATCGTGTATATCGGAAAAATAGGCAATGAGCTACAGCTCAACGACAAGCTCGCTGCTCCAATTTTGCTCCTCTTGCTTGAGTGTCAAGCTAGCGACCATTCAGCGCTGTCAACACAACTTTTCTTCCAATTGGACCCTACTTTGACATCTTGAAGCCTAATATACAAAATGCGAAACCCAAAAACTAATTTGGGTGACAAACCTAACATTAATAATGAATTTAAAATAAATATACTTAGTGTTTAGATGATGATAATCTGCAGTTTTGTCTCTCTTTTTGGTCATGGCTTTCACGCCTCAAATAATTTCGTCACTATTTTTTCACTGTTTTGATTGATATAGTGTATTGAGATATTTAATCCTCCCTTGTAGTCCAACAATGTATCCAGTAACAAAACATTATGCATTTGCAGGTGCCTTTTTCCTTTAGAGTGGCACATTTTGGCCCCGTTAATTGATTTTTTGAACGTTAGAAGAAATGTGGGGTCTACCTGTGAGAGAAGAAGTCAAAAATTACGGCTTGAATAATGAAATAACGATCAAAATCAATTTTTGAAGGTAAAAAGCCCCCTCCCAAACAGGCTATTTAACTAATTGCTACATCTATCTTGTTTGAACAACATATGAGCAGCAAATTATTCCTTTTCTTCAATCAATATCTTTGAGATCCATCTTAACTTGAGATGTTTAATTTCCAGTTTCTGTTGAATGCTGATTGTTGACCCCCCCCCCCCTTGCAATGGTAACATGGACAACAGATGTCTGATCCACTCATGTCCATGCAAGCAAATTCTGTAACATTTTGATCGGAGATTTGGTCAAAAAATCACGGCGATAATGGATGTGGGAGATGCTCTACGACATGAGACAAAAACGTTTGGGCATCGACAATGTGATCAAGAATGATTGCAAACAAAATAATCAGTCGTAAGCAACTCCATCGAAAAATATAAGGAATTACAGCCTCAAGTACTTAAAGCAGAAAACTCGTAATTTTATGTATATGAAGTTTGCATATAGTTTTTTTTTTAATCCTTTGAAATGTTAAAGAATTGATATTTATGTGTTCTAGCCGACGTGGCGGACGTTGGATCAGAACTACATGGCTTCATCTTATTAACCGAAATCTCACATCACTCTACTATACATTAACAAGAGGTTAGTCGCTCTACACTCTAGGTTGATATTTTTGATATTCATTACTAAAAACGTTACATCAATAATTTCTACAGATACTTTGCAGCTCGCTTTAAAGGCAACTAGAGCTTCGACTTAAAGAAAGGACTTCAAATAGACAAAGGTTCAATGAAAGAGTGTTTCGACAAAGAACTTTGGATGGAGATAGCGCTTCGGCCAAAGAGATCAACCATTTTCCTTGATTTCTTCATTTTGTCCTTGTTGACCATCAAATGTATTGCCTCCAAGTGGTTTTGACGTGGCTAACCCTGGGGCTCCATGTGACTTCCACTGGAAGTGTTGGATACAAGGCGTAACAATGAAGTGAAATCCCTTCAAATTGGTAAAATGAGAAGTATCACAACTATTCTGATACCCAACAAAATTTCTACTCCTCCAATTGGTACATTTTAGATTTTGTAAAATCTCATAACTTTGCATCATGGTTATGGATCCTGTCATGTAATGAGGCCCAGACCTTTTTCCTACTAACAATAAGGGCTTGTTTGAGCCACATTATTTTCAAAAAAATATATTTTTCATCGGTGATTTGACATCATTTCAACAACGCATTCTTCAATAAAATAATGTTACATGCAAATCTAAAACTTTTTCTTATCTTTTAACACACATTTTCAATTAATTTGACATGAACAATGCATTTTTTCTTAGAATGTGGCTGAAACATGGGCTAATATACATGTATAGCTCACAAGAAACAAGTACGTATATAAACATCTCTTTTTGTTCTCAAAAAAATAAAAATAAAATAATAAAATAAAATAAAATGGAACATGAATCATATTCATTATACAGAAACCTTCTATAAACTAAAGCTGAAGAAGCTTTGGAAAACAAGTAATATTTCTAATTCACTGTGCATCACTTAAATTGATGAGTTGGAGATCTTCCTTGTAACAGGAAAAGTAGACTTCTCAAAATCAGGGACCAGAAGAGGCTCTAAGGAATCTACTATGTCTCTCATTAGTGGTCTTGCTTTTGGATTTCGATTTAAGCAATGGTAAGCAAGCATGGCTGCCTTTTGAACTCCTTTTATGGGATAATCACCTTCTAGTCTTGGGTCCACAATATCAAGCAATTTCTTCTTTTCTTTCACAAGAGGGATAGCCCAATCGGTAAGATTTTGTTCACGAGCTCGTCTGGATTTATCCAGAGATTTTCTTCCTGTCAGAAGCTCAAGTAGAACCACACCGAAGCTATATACATCACTTCTAGGACTCAAATGGCCTATGCAATTGAGAGTTACATAAGATGAGTTGAGTAGCATATGATACTAAGAATACATTGACCTCTTATATCAGCATATATTTTCAAACTAATTGTCTGCATTCCTGAGGATAGTGATAAACATAAATACCTGTCATTATGTATTCTGGTGCAGCATATCCGTAGGTTCCCATTATGCGAGTAGAAACGTGGGATTTGTCCCCAACTGGTCCATCCTTAGCTAGACCAAAATCAGAGAGTTTTGCATTGTAGTCCTGTTTAAAGAGGACATGTTACAAACACAATCATAAGCATGAGCCAATAAGATGAGTTAATTTAAATTGATCCATATATGAAGAACCTAAATGCTATTATTCTGCCAATCTTGAAATTTCATTGTTACAATATTAAGCATGTATATCGCGGAGGCACTCTGTGAATAAAAATTTCATTTACTTTGAACTAGCTTATTTGGAAACGGTTTCATGGAAAAGAAGGATATGAGAATGTTTTTCTGCTGCTGACCCCACTGAGGAAGTTGATGCTTTCAGTTGAAAAGCGGGACTTCCTAGATAAAAGACTCCATGCTGTTTTTGTTAACCAGGTTATTACCTGGCTCTACACGAGCTTATTTCAGAGTGGCTTCATTTAGCACAGTCTATGACTTTTTTCTATTTTTACATTCTCATCAACACACATTTCTGTTGATATAAACTAAACGATCCAGTTCAAAAACATATCTAAAAAATTGAGACTTTTCAACAACAAACCTGGTCCAGTAAAATGTTAGAAGTCTTGAAATCCCGGTAGATGACAGGTTTCTCAGCTTCATGCAGAAAAGCAAGTCCTTTTGCTGCTCCAAATGCTATCTTTAATCTGGTAGACCATGGAAGGGGAACCAAGACTTCTGCAAGAAGCATCTAAGCATGGACAATACTACGGAAAAACAAAGACAAGAATAGGAGGCTGGTTCGGAAATTCGAAAGATCTTATGGATGCAATACTTTTTATAATGGAAGCTTACCAATTTAAAATACATCAGACCAAAAAATTTAATGAAAAAGTAAAATATTTAATCAAATTACCATGTTTGGCAGTTCTCGAAATAACACATCATATGCCTCTCCCAAAATATAAATAAAAGCATATAGACCATATTAAATAGTCTGAGAACTTTCTATTGAAATTGTAACAGAGTCCGCTAATGAGGTACATTACATGCCTCTCAAATATTCTCGAGTGCTCTGGATGTTGTTGTGTTGCCTCTCTTCCAAAATAAAGGATAAGAAAAAAGGTTTCCTAAAAGCTCTCTCGCAGTTCAAGTATAGAAAGGTCAGTGAGAGTAAGACGAACAGCAAGTACTAGCTCATCCTTTTTCCTGGAGGGGTGGTCTTGGGAATTGAAAGTAAAACTTTTATGATAGTATTATGATGTAAAGTACGTGTCAGTTTTGGTCATGGCCCTATTAAGTCATGGACAGCACTGTCCCTGAAAATCATAAACCTGCATCATAACATGGTTTAATGGGGGAATGATGTCATAGAGGTAATATTAAACGCAAAAAATAAATATGGTGTAGGTTCACAATGACACTGAACTTTCTTACCTGCCTATCTTAAAGGAAATCTTTCATAATTACAAATAAATAAATCAATACTTTAAACAGAAATGCATCTTGGTTTAACACTGTGAAGTGAACAAGCAATACTTACTTGAAAATAGATTGTTTTCAACGCTCCCTCGAGACATATACTCGTATATTAGAACACGGTGTTCATCTTCACAGCAATATCCAATCAATTTTACTAAATTTGGATGAGAAAGCTGCCCCAAAAAAATTACCTCAGCCTAAAAAACCACAAAAAAAACTCAGCAGAAAGGATCAAGAAATCTATTAGGATAAAGAAAATGCAAGCATGTCAAAGTGGACATTTCACCATTTACCAGCCATTCCCTGTGACCTTGATAACTGTTATCTCCATCATGAACCTTGACAGCAACAGTAATTGACTGGATCCCTTCTCTTAAATCTTTGGAAATGTGCCCTTTGTATACATTTCCAAATCCTCCTCCACCTAACATGTGATCTTGTCTGAAGCTTCCAGTGATCGCCTTTAGCTCATCAAATGTAAAAGCAATAAGTGGATTAGCTGCTGTACTACGACGCAGGTGTTCCACTTCCTCAGGATTTGATGGTAGCTTAGTGTCGTCTTTCCTTGCCTTTTCTGATGGACTTAGATCCTTCGTAGACTCTAAACATGATGATTTAAAATATTACAAAAATAATGATAAAAATAAAACACTACACTTGAAAAAGTTGAGATCAACTTATCTATGAGATTAAACCAATGTGAGAGATCACTTGCCAAAAATACACACTTAATATAGGTGTATAAGTAGAAAGAAAATATTACATTTTTTTGGAGACTCGCATATTTGTTGTTTTGATGGTTATAGTCCTGTCAGAAATTTTACGTATAAATAGGAGTGATATTCAATTTGTTCTATCCATACGCATCTCTCCAAATTCTGTTCTTGTTCTATCTTTCTCACTCTCACTTGCATGAAAACAGCCACAGTCTCTACTATTACAGCCAAACTAGTCATCAATATGAACTAGTGCCACATGAAAATCAAATATTAAGGATGAAATGAAAAGAGAAAAATTTCTACACTTAAGTCAATCATTCACGACGATAGAAAAAAGAAGTCTGCATCGAGTATATCAACGTTAGTCCTTTGCCTTCCCAACTTGGTGGCAAAGCCAAATTTCAGATATGGTATCCCTTACAAAATCCTAATTAGGTCACACAAATGGGATAACAACATAACAGCTACAAACTTATTTGGCCCTGTTTGGCTCCATTTTTTAGCACTCATTTTTAACCAAATATTTTATCAAATTTTCAAGTACACATTTCATCCAAGTTTCATCAAAATTTACTAAAAATATGATTTTTAGGAAAATCAAACAGGGAATTAGTTTCACACAGAATGATTCATGTATATTATAGGATTCCAACTTCGGTATCTTCAACTTGTAGATAAATAAATTCTTTACTTGAGAGAATATCTAATCATCACCAAATCCAAACAAAAAAGAAACTTATATGTAAAAGCAAGAGAGTCTAAATTAATAGCCCAAGCCCCTATAGTTTCGATATTTACCCCTCCTTTGGCCATTTTAGAAAATCTTCTTTCCATGAACTCGCTTGCAGCAGCATATTTCATGGGATCGGCAAAGTTTCGAAAATATATATTTGATCAACTTTCTTCAAAATCCACTAAAAATCTAATTTTATTTATCAAAATGCTTAGTCCCTTAACGGCATCTAGTTGTTGAAACATCAGCAACACCCAGAAGCAAGAACTGAGGAAGATAACTCACCGGACTTTGCATTGGATGATACTCTGTATATTGTAGGTTCCCATCTACACCAGCAATTCCCCATTATGTAGAAACAATCAAACAGCCTACTTTCAATAACTACGACAAACCCATCGCACTATTATCTCGTAAATTATACTCCAAAACAAAATAGAAAGTTGACGCACCCACTCCTTCACCCAAAAGAAAATAAGAAAAAGAAGAAAAGTGCAATGTGAAATGAGTTTTAGGAGTCGTATGTCTTTGAGTGTTTGCAAATGAAATGATGGGGTGCACTAGTGTAGTGGGGACTTTCTTGAATCTTGGTTGTGTTTGGCAGAGTTAATTGATTCTTTTAGTGCGCTTTTTTTTCATTTCTGTAATTGGACACCCTCCTGGCGCCTTTGCCAATCCCTTTCTATCATTCTCCAAATCCCCTTTTTCTTGACATGCGCAGTTTCCCTCAGCCTACGCCAGTTGTAAAAAATTATGTGTTATGTATAATATTGAAAAATTTCTACATAAATCTTCCTCCATTGCAAATGTACTAAATGGAATTCCTCATTATAGTCATTTTCATTTATTTTATTTTCGTATGATATTTTTGGTTGTATACGTGTAGACAACAATCAAAACAAAATAACAGAGACTGATTATTTTTATAGCTTGAGGGAGATCTTATCAGCAACTTCTCGTGGACTAAAAAGGATGTGCTCAACTAAAATATGCGTTTCAATAAGCAGCTAAGAGCGTGTGATGAGAGGAATTAGTACAGTACATTTTGATTTATAATAAAAATATCACTTTTTCTAATATTAGTCAATTAGGTGCAATGAATGCCAACAATTTAAAGTGGCTGTAATCAAAATGGATAGTGGCATACAAAGATTAGTGCTCGTGCAGCTGTTTTTTGGCTTTCATACTATACTTAGATGAACCTAACTGTTGTTAGTTTGATGCTGATCAACAATAATTATTTGTAGACTAAATTTATATGCTTCAAAATAAGTATTTTACTAAATTATATTGAGAGATTAACTCAATATTCAGTCAATCACCGTAGAAAATATAACGGTGAAAGTGAACAGATTACTTGAAGAAAGTGAACAATTTACTTGAAGAACTCTGATGATTTGTGAAGAATACTATTTCTCTTTTAGTGCCTCTTGAGATATTTTAATCCAACAATTCATTGATGGTAGCCTCATAATGTCATCCATACATTGGTTTTGCATCTCTCTGTCTCTCTCTCAACACACACATTGGATTTTCTAATCCTTCGACTTATCCCAATTTGGAGATATGAACTGAGAGATATGGTGCAAGCTGAGCTTATAAGCTTCATATTCTAATTTATCTGACTAGTGTTTGGATCTACTTTAGGATACAATTGGAGGAATTTATGTGGGAGAAATGTTTGTGGTGGGCTTCTTGTTTGTATGTTTCCATCTTGTTTGAAATTCTTGGAGTGATCACTTCCAGGTGGGGAGCACTCAAGGTTTGTATTTGAAAATCTTGCGAGAGTTAGGTTCCAAATGACAATGTAAAAAGAAAAATCTAATAATTTGACTAAAACTAGTTTCATTTTAATATATTTTAAAGCGAGCAAGCGGGTAACCATTGTGATTATTCATGTATTCCTTTCAGACCTCCACATATCCACAGCCCCAGCCCGTCCACCCCCCAGCCCCCAAGAAAAAAAAAAAGACTGAAACTAACTGCCCTCCCCCTTTTCTTACTTACCACAGTTCCTGATGAAGCATGAAAACTGCTAAAGAAACACAGCAGTACAAGCAATCAAAACTAGTATTGTTCGTCGCATGCAGATACAATTAGTAGAGAAAACAGATACAGAATTTGCTATTTGAAGGGATTACAATTAATAGTCCCTTTTTCCTAATGAAATTGGCAATTAATCATTTGTCATGACCTGCATCTAATGTCTACGGCAGCAATTTAGTAAAAACAGATAATTTAGCTTGTGCAGTACTACTGCAGTTTAAGTTCATGTTTGGCAATTCAAGCATGCTTCTATATTATTCAGGTTTTCAACTTAACAGATCTGTTGAATGTTGTATACCAATTCATAAAAGGGTAACTGAGGTCCTTGCACATAGCGTTCGATGACATTTGCCTTCTACAGAATGCTTCAATTTTACAGTTGCAACAAATATATTCTTTCTTTCACCTTTATATATCAGCACAATATACTCGTTATACTTTATGGAAGAGCCGGAGAATTTATTGGAGATTACTATTTAGGAATTAAAGTATGCAAGAGCCTAGGCTACACTGTTCTCCCAATCTCAGGCTGCCTCTTCGAGAGGAGGGAAAGCCCACTCAGGGAGAAAGCCAAAGTAAAGCAACTGAAACAGGCCTAGAATAGTTTTGATAGGAGGTGAGTCTTGTATGTATCAATCATTCCATCTATTTTCTGCCGTGTCATTTTATCAATGAGTTTACGAACATAATGTGTCAAAATTCGAAGAAGCAAAGAAAGAAACAGTAATATGTATTCCTCTACTGGTTACCAACATTGCGACCACATAGATGCCCTATCCCGAGCAGGAAATTTGAGCACAAAAAGATTCTTAAAATCAGGCCAGACAGCACAGTTTCTTCAGTTTACCAAATATATCACCATTAAACCCCTTAATAGTGTTTTTATAAATTTTAAAGGGTAATTAATTATATGTCTTTCTAAAATACTTATAATTGGCTCTCAGGTTGGCGCATAATTTGAAGCCAACACGATTCTTTACATATATCTACTTTTAAAAAATGCTTAGAAGTGGTTATAAATTCTGAAATCTTCCTCAATTTACTTACATTCTACCTTCTACATACATGAGCTTAACTTGAGTGCAAATAGATGAACCTTAAGATTTCAGTCAAAATTATTGCTCATATATAACCAAACTCATAGCACTACTGCAATCAAATCTAAATTAGATCATGATGCATAATCATAGACTGCCATGACAGAAATTCACAAAGCATGTTCTCAGTGTTCACTTGAAAGTTTAATGATGTGAATTTCATCTTGGACGGTGAAAATCAGCGTGCCGTGCAAGCCTAAAACTTTCATCATAATCCTGCAATCAATGCAATGGGCTTATTTTACTCAGTGTTGGGAAAAATCTAGCTAACTAGGTAATGATTTCTTTTGGTATGCAAACCTCTTATGAACATACAAGTATACTTTGTTCAAAAAATTTGCCATACATTTGTTATTTATCTAACATTAAGTGCGTTGCTGCATCTGCTGTAAGTGTAATTATGTTGGAATACATGTTTTATGATTATTGGCACGAATAAATTTCCACTAATAGAATATAAATTAGAAAGAATTGTTAACGGCTATGCATTCATTCATTGTCGTCTTGTTTATCAAATTCAACAAGAAGCTTGGGTAGCTTAGGACCTCTTGCACAGGGGATACGTACTCTGCTTATTAAACGTGTTTGGGCTGGCTAATGCTGGACAATTCTCATGAGTGAAGTGTACACCTATTAAATATTTGATGCCAAATAGTAAAGTCTCAAAATTGCAAGGCCCTAAACTATAGTGTATGCTGTTTCTAGATGTGCTTATTATACTAGAGTGAAATTTTTTCTCTGATGCACTAGATTTTGGCCAGTTTTCATTTATTTATCAAATATTCAGTATTGTACCACTGAACAAAGATGAAAGATGTTCGGTCAAATATCTTAAAATTTGTAGTACTCCGAATGCAATTTCAAATGTTTTTACCCTCTTTACATATTCAACAAGTGTTCTGGCTGTTGAATTAATGCTTTTATTCGGAAAGGGAAATATTTATCCTTCACTTAGAAATGAAAATCATTAACCTGAAGGTATGTTTCCTTCCAACGAAACTGCCTATTGTCACTGATTATGAATAAGATAATACAGTATTGCATTAATTTGCCTAATCAAAATCATCAGCAAAAGATGGCTAAAAAGAGTTTTGTGCCATTCTTTCTTGTCATGAATGATGATAGTCACATGTGCTTCTCTTAAGGGTATTCATAGTCTCGATGATTTAGCTTGATAAAGGAATTTTTTTTTTCCAGGTGTTATTCACTTAGAATAGACCGGTATGATACAAGACATATTAGTGTACGTAGAAAGTGATAGAGACAGGCAAAAATATTTTCCCCTCTGCCAAAAAAAAAAAAAAAAAAAACTGGAGGATTGTCATTTTTCCTGCGGCTTTAAAATCCTTTTAGGCAAGCAATACAAAACCATTCTCTCATGACAACCCTCTTTACGTAGGAGTCAAAAGTCAACCCTTTGCTTGCTATTTAATTCCAACCTTCCATGTGGTTTTTCATTGAGGCAATGGCTAATGTTTTCCAGCATTTTTGGGGCCTGCCCCTCTTACTTTCACTTTATTTAATTCACTCAATATCCACTTCCCATGTAACTTCAGTGCTTCATCTATATTGTTCCACTCTAGTCAGGTCAATATCATCTAATTTTTTCTTTTGGTTCATGTTTCTCACAGGTTTACATTGTCTATTTTGGGCACAACCAAAACCGAGATCATCTTCTTACATATCAGTATCATGTTGAGCTTCTCTCTAGTGTCTTCGAAAGGTGTCATCTACCACTCACATTTCTTTTGAATAGTACCATGCCCTTGCTTAAAGCATGGAATCTGACATATTTTTCCTAAATTTAATTATTTATGCAGCAAAGAAGATGCAAAGCAAGCCATTCTCTACAGCTACAAGCACAGTTTCTCGGGTTTTGCTGCAACTCTTAATTCAAGCCAAGCAACCAACTTAGCTAGTAATGAGCTTATTAACTCTTAATTTCTCACTACAAAAAATGCTCCAACATAAAAATACAGTGCATATTTATCACCTTAATTTTGGAGTTTTCATCAACTCGGAAAAATTAAATGCAGATATAAAGGGAGTGATATCGGTGTTTAGGAGCAAGACAGTCCAGTTGGACACCACGAGAAGCTGGGATTTTATGGGTCTTGCCGTGGACTACAGCCAAGGAACTCCATCGCAGCTAGCTTATGGTGACAACATAATTGTTGGAGTCTTCGACACAGGTATCTCCTCCTGTCACGTGACCTAATGCAGTAAGCTATAACCAAAACAAGGGGAAATCTTCGATTTCAATCCCCAATTATCATGTAAAGCTGCATGCGTTTCACAATTTAATCAACATGATCAATGCACAATTAGTAAGTACAATTTCTAGTATCTTGTATATTAGCAGAATAGCAATCACATCCTACAATGGCTGTATTTTAGAAATTAATTTCTTTCTTTTGATTTTTGAATGGTAAGGTATCTGGCCAGAGTCCGCTAGTTTTAAAGAGGAACCTGGCATTGGACCTGTAACTAACATCTGGAAGGGCAAATGCATGCCTGGAGAGAAATTCAATCCAGAAAAGCACTGTAACAGGAAGTTGATTGGAGCCCGTTATTACCTGGCAGGGTTCGAGAGACAATATGGACCGATAAACAAAACAGGAAACCACGAATATCGATCAGCTCGAGATTCCCTCGGTCATGGAACTCACACAGCTTCCACGGCTGTGGGTTCACGGGCTAAGGATGCAAGTTTATTTGGTTTCGCGCAGGGCATTGCACGGGGAGGATCCCCCAGGGCTCGTCTAGCTGTGTACAAAATATGCTGGAACAGAAATTTTGACGGAAGGTGCACTGAAGAAGACATATTAGCAGCTTTTGATGAGGCATTGCACGATGGAGTGCACATCATATCGGCTTCTTTTGGTCCAAGGCCGCCATTGTTGCCATTTTTTAAGTCCAGTTCCGGTATTGGTTCGTTTCATGCCATGCAATTGGGTGTTCCCGTAGTATTTTCGGCAGGTAACAACGGCCCTGATCCATCTCTTGTCGGAAATGTGAATCCATGGAGCATCTGTGTAGCCGCCTCCACCATTGACAGACGTTTTCCAACCAAGATAATGTTGGATGACATTATCTCTTTCACGGTAATTTACCAAGTTAATTTTGTTTTTAAACCAACTTTCATTACAAAGCAACTCTGCAAAGTGGAATTCAATTCATGTTGTTTGGAAAATAGTAGCAAGAAAGTTGGCTACATCTATAATCAGATATATATACCTATGTCATTTATCATCATGTGTTTTTTAAGTAGTAGTTATTTTCTCATTATAATCAAAAGTAATCATCATATACAAGGTTAATTTTTTTGGGTCAAATTTTCGCTTTGTTCATTAAACTTATTTTCTAATTTCAAATTAGTCACCCAACTTCAAGTTTATTTCAATACTGGGCCGTCAAACATATTAATAGAAAATCTGTCATTAGCTAGCTTATGTTTACTAATTTGACATTCTGAATAGTCTAGATTTTTTGGTTTGTCTAGTTGTTCGAGCGTGTTTCACAAATTGATTTTTGAGTTATGAAATCTTCCTCAAACACATTAAGAAGATCTATATGAAAGATAAAATTAAAATAATCTGCTCTCTTTAAATCTAGAATCTATTGGATAAACTTTCGTTTTGAAATTTCAAATGCATTTTCAATTAATATAATCATGTCTTCATGACTAGTTACAAGCTTGGGTGATATTGGGATCACAAGTCACATTTGAACGATATAATCTCTATTGAGATGTTAGTGACATAATTGAAACGATAAGATTAGGAATCGAGTCTATTTTGCTTATAGTTTATATTTTTTCCTTTTTTATAATCTGTTTATTAAATAAAGTAATTTAGGCTCCGTTTGGTACTCATTTTTTTTCAAAATGCATTTTTCTCTCTCTCTTCTTTTCAACCACACATTCTTCATTAAAATAATATTACACGTAAATAAAAAACTTTTCCTTATTTTTCAATCAGACATTTCTCATCAATTTACTATTTCAAAATGCATTTTTACATAAAAATGGTTCCCGAACACCCTCTTAGTGTAGTTTAGTTGA